AGCGAAATTCAACCTCAACTGTCTGCCAGCGGCCCCTCAACGTCTACATCTGCTGAGAAGCATACAAATGTGACAAATAATTACCATAACTGCAACTTTTATTATTCCATTAATAAATGAGTTTCTTGTTAAATATTATGATATATACTAATTATTTATTTCTTAATGTCGTATTTCATTCGAGAAATAATCTCACTAAATACCGCTCGAGCTTTTAAAGTGACCATATGATTTTTCACTCTGGCATGTTTTCTTTACAAATTTCACTCGTCCTTCGGACTCGTGAAATTATGGAAAACATGCAATCGTGAAAAATTATCGGTAATTTCAAAGCTCTCGTGGTATTACCCCCGAAAAGTAGTCATTGGATTCAATGTCAATCAAAGCTCCGTTAAAAAATAATACAGGCCGATTCTCGTATATTTTCAGTAATCAAAAAATGTATTCCAGAACGTAAATTATATGATAGCCAATTAATTATTCAGAATTCGACAGCTAAAGCTTCTTTTTACAATGCTGCCACTAGAGCTTTTTTGTTATCCCCTGAGCTACCCTTTGCAAGTATAAGATTTTATGACAACAAAATAATAATCTTGCCTCGTTAGGTAGGCAATCAGGGTTCGAGCAGCGGCAATATAATTTATTCCGTTATGAAAAAGCAGTAAAGATAATCAGGGACGAGATTAAATATTTTTCAAAGGAACCGATCTGTCCGCCAATAAAGGTTGCTATAGGGTTTTGAAACCCCACAAGAAAAAACAATCGTTAAAGGTTTTGTTATTCCAGCGGTTTCATGAAAATTAATACTTGAGAAAAAAACGGCTTTTTCTTTCGAATCCCACATCCATTAATGAAAGTGGGTCAATACTTCAACGTGGAAGTGAATGTTTGATTTGGCTCTTATTTGCTTCATGTAACTGAACAGCAAGTAAACTATTGACTATAACGTTCAAAGCACCATCAATTGTGAGCTTTATCGATCATTTCTTAAATACACTTAAACCACAAGTTTTCCACCAGATTATTCAGTATATCCATGAATGTCATCATCATGATCATTCTTCATAATTCTTAGATTTTTCGTAATTTTAGATTCTTAGTAAGCTGGGAAAGTCTAGAATTTATCGATTCATGTTAATCACCCCTAAGACGCTAAAACAAAGCATTCAGTTTGGTGCGAATTAAACCGTCTCGCGATTAGCTTAACTGCCGAGATCCTCAGCTTCCCATTTTATAGTCCCATTTGATCATTTCTTCTTTTTGCGGCATTGGCTTTTTATGGCAGGGCGGCAGGTATCATTAAACTTTGAAATATCGGTGCGATTTTATCATTATCTAAGTTTTCAGGATTATAATTAGGGATCTAATTATTGCAGCAAATCTTTCCGAGAAGACAAAATGGTCTTTGTTGGATTTAATGGGCTAAAGGAGCTTCTACTGTCTGGGGCTCTGAGAAATTAACTGCGACAAAGGCATCACCTCATTCAAAATTAGCTCATATTTTCATTTATAAAAAAAATATTATTAGTTAATATTGTGGCCTTTGTATAGTTGAAGTAAAACCTCCAGAAAACACTTGCAAATTAACTGGGATTTGTAGGCGATCACCTAGCAATAGCTGAAGCAATTTTGTTGTTATTTTATAATAACAGTTCAAACTCAAAATTATATTTATTACATCGGTTAGAATAAAGTCTAGATTTCTCATGGGATGGAGTCAAAGGCAATATTTCCCCGCGGTTTAAACGCACTCATCGATAAAGCATATCGGAATTTCTGGTTTGAGGTCAGGTTTGGAAATATACAGTTTCAGCCATTCTCCATCCATTGCACGTGCTCTTGTGAAGAGTTTCCAGTCTCTTGACATTAAATTGCTTAATTAAAGTAGGGGCAATCATGCATTGGATATTGGAAAGTCTAAAAGTAATTTCAGCTCGCTAATTCTGAGTTGAATAAAATGATTCAATGGAAAATTGTATTAAATCAAATGTTCTGTTTCATTTATTCGAACTCATCTAGTATAAAAACGGGAAATTTTATAAAGCTTAGTAACTAAGGATAGCCTTAATCATAAAATGTTCCTAACAAAGGCAAGCATTGGATTTATTTTATTCGTCCTTTTTTCAAGTTTCACAATTTTCTAGAAGTAAATTTCAAAGGCAGATTTTACTATGATGTGAATTTTCAATTGTATAACGAAACTGGAAAAGAAGACAGCTTAAATTCTTTTGAAAAAGTTTTGGTTCTCTCCGGTGTTTACCGCAAAAGTCTTTTGTAATGGAATACTCGCTGTAATTAGTAGTTTTCACGTTCTTCGACAAAAAGCTTTCCTTGTGTAGTTCTTTTTTGGTCCAAGTTTTATACGTAATTCAAATAAAATGAATGATATTCCTTTTAAACAGCATAACGAGTAAAATGCTGTAAAATGGGGCATTTGAATTCCGAAATTTGTATATCATTTAATTTGAACATTTCCATTGTATTATTATCGAATACCTACTTCAATTCAGACGTTTTATTTTCAACGAAAATAATTCTATTATTATTATTATATTTGCTCTGGGTTTCATTATTTTATTGTTTTGAGTATTTTAGTATGGATTACATCATTGCAAATTTGTTATCCATGCCATATTGTTCTGAAAGTGATTTTATATTTTATGATTTTCCATTTTGAGTTACTAATTGATGACTTTAATCCTGATTAAAGAATTTTAGTCTAAAAATTATATTTTAATTTTACAAATTATACAGGAGACATTAAATCTATATAATTCGGATTTAATTTGAAAAATGAATTAAAGTAGCAGTGATTTATCAGAATTCCTGTTTCAACTGAAACAGCAAACAATAAAACGTGGTTTCTCGCGACTAAAGCTGGAAGACGGGCTCGGTTAATGGACAAACCTCGTAACAAAAATTACCTCATATTTCAAGTACACACCGAAATTTCTCATTTTAATTGAATTTGGGATACGATCCAGCTACGAAACTGAATTTTCAGCTTAATGGTTCACTTTTCCGTGCACTATCCACCTTGAGTGACGCTGAACAGGTTTTCCTTTTAAAATATCGTATTAAGTTGGTTTTAACCCAATTAATATTCAATTAAATTCATACACTTAACAATAAATGCCAAT